CACATCGTGAAAATCGACTAATCGAAATTCGACTCATAGAAGTTCAACTGTATTTGAAAGTACGCTCATTAAACATTTTGCAAAGAAGTTATCTGCTTAATCCACAAACTTCCCTTTTAAGTAGTGGTGCATATGTTCCATTTGAGTGGGACAAAATATTCTTTGTCATGTCTTATTGTCATAAATGTGTACATGTACCGTAATTTTTTTACTAAATTACTATGAAATATTACCATGCATGAGGTAGAATGGTTGGGTGAGTAGAATTTGTGAGCATGGTGAAAACGCCCCGTTTTGAAAGGCCAGGCTATTTGTTTTTCCAGTTATTTCGAATGTGTATGATATGTAATAATTTATATTTATGCACGTGCAATGATGTTTTATATTATACTTTTCAACACAAACTGGGTAACAAACATATGTTAAGTACTGCACGTCTTTTTGGATACGACAGGGTTTATATGTCTGTGATTGCATGAAAAATGAAAGTGTGTGGCTATGTTACATATTTTTAACATTTTTTGCTTTAATAAATAAGACCTTGTCAACCAAAATAAAAACAAACAGTATGTGCAATTTTGCATATGTTGTTTTATCAGGGTCTTAGAAAAAAGGAGCAAATATTACAGAAGGTGTATTGAATAAATTTGAACTGTTTCGCAAACATTCTTTTAAATATTACTGATTAGATAGATGATCATTCGTACAGAGCAGGCCTTTCTGTATCAATATTGTTGAATTTATAAAAAAATCCAGTTTATTCTGTAGAATACAGTTAAAGGACTTTGTTAAATCAATATGTTGCCGTCGCCAATGAGTGACATAAAATTACACGTATCTTTTATACTGGTATAGGAGTCTCCAACCTTTAAGAAGACAAAAATACAACAACTCAATTCGTACTTGTTAACATTTCATGAACAATGTACCACACGTTTGTAGTACAATATAATTAAGATGTCAGTAACAAATTTAAATATTCATTCCAATTATACGAAACAGTAGGTGTTTTTGAAAAACGTTACAGTGCATTTAAAACAAGCAGACTTGTAAAATGTTTGGCTTCCGCTTAAATTCTGACATTCGGACTAACTGCCATAATATCGAGCATTTTGTCAATATTCATTCTCATATTAAATAACAATTTAAAACTTTTGATCAACTGAACTTACAAAACATTATTTGGGCCAAAAAAAAAAATGATTTTCCTCCCCGACCCATAAAAATTAGGGTAGGTATTATTTTTTTATATGTGCACAATAATAAATAATCTGCATATATGTTTAATGAATTATTAAAATTAATATATTAAGTGCAATAGTATATGTTCATGCATGACCATATTCACAACTGACATATGCAACAATTAATAACAATGCTAGCTGTCTAAAATATTAGATTAGATTGTATTTATTGTAACCGGTATTGTAACATGTAACCGGTACCGTTGGCCTAGTGGTTAAGGCGTCCGCCTTCGGATCGGGAGGTCGAAGGTTCGAGCCCCACGGGGAGCGTTAATTGAAGGATGAATGTTTCTCGTGAGACTCGTTCCGAAATGGCCGGTTCGTGAGCCGCGAGGTAGTTAAAATGAATGGTTACCGATTTCTATCCGCCTGGCGCCTGGCATAGTGGTAGGAATCGGGAGGTACATGGTATGCAAGCAAAAGGTGTCTCATAAGTCAAAATGGCTGGCTCTTTCAGTAGGGGTGACACTATAATAAACAAGACCTTTACCTTTACCTTTTTATTGTACTCTGAAAGAAAGAAATACTTTCATCCCCTAAGAACTTTAAAAATATTTTGGGTGGAGGCAAATTTGTTGGGTATGTAGGGATAAGGAAACAAATTAAATTTTATTTTAGGCCTTCAACGTAAACCTGTGTTTGCCTTGTTTGCATTACTGTACATTTATGATAATTATTTTGTGATGCAGCAGTCAAGTCCACTATAACGGTGTTAAACAGTTATCTTATTGAGTTTATTATCGTAAGTCAAGCAGGCTTGCCATATAAATTAAAATGTTGACGAATTAATATACATATTGTCAGCGTAACGCAGTAGGTAAGGTTGTCTGGTAAATGTCTATTTAAATATCAATGCAAAACAGCCAGTTTCGGAGTCTACTTATTTTGACAAATAATATTTCTGTATTATTAATAATCAAATAAGAATATGTTGCATTTTATCTTGTAAAGATTTTAAGTGTTGTGTAATTTTTTATTTAATTCTCATTTCATTTTTTCTTTTGTTTCCAATGTAGCCATATCTAGCAAGTTGGTGTAACATTATACAGAATACTAAACGGAATGCATACATATAAACAAATTGTTTCAAGTATAGTCGAGTTGGCACGAAATACTCGTGAAATGTACAAGTTCTATGATTACTTCATACTACACATGATACAAATCATTAAAATTTAAAGGTATATTTGAATTATTAGATATTAAAACAAAATCTCAACTTCATTTCGTGTAATGTAAAATTTAAAAAACAGGGAAAGAAAAGAAGGTGAGACAATTTGTGAGGCTCAAACTCCTGATCAAATATAAGTTGTACGGCATCCCATTGACTTTACCAACTTTGCCATCGAGACATTTCGAATTAAATTTTTATCCTGTAAAAAAACTGTTTTACCTATTCAAACAAACGTTGTAAACTTTTGTGTACACACGAAATGCATCGTTATTCTCACATTATCAAAGCGGCACGGTATCTATGTGTTTTTTAACTAAATAATAATCAATTTTCACTTGGCATATACTGTCCTACTGACAGGGAAATCTGTCATTATTTTATAAAATCTATATATATAATATTAACAAGGATACAAGTCGTGGCCTCGCACTACCAGCACGGGTTCGTAAAATGCATTCACACGTGTAAACTGTATAAAATATCCTCTATTCCATCAAAGTTATTGTAGAAGTTAATATATGAACGAGTCATTACCCAAGTTCTACTACAAACACTTCATTAAAACCTGTAACATTGCAGGACATAGCTAACATTTTAATATTTACATTGGCCGTCAAGTTGTCGTCCATTTTGCAGGTGTGTTTATGTTCAGAGTATTTTCATTGGCTGATGAAAAAACCGCTAATCGTCGCGGCTATATGCTGTTATTATCCGGATTATTATTATTCATTAGCCAATGAAATTGACAGTTACTAACAGAAGTTGGATTTACGCATTGGAACATACGGGCAACATCAAAATGGAAGCCGAGGATAGAAATTATCAAAACAAACATAAATTGTTACAATAATTTGTACCAGAAGTTAATGATTGCATCATTGATAGTGTTGGATAATTAATATTTAACCGATTACATGATTAAACTTTCTTATATGAGCATACGTTTGCATAAGATGTCGTTTTACACGTGTAATTTTACAAACCGAAATATTACGAACTGTAAAAATGAAACATGAAAGGTTATTTTTAATAATATCTTGTCCATGTAACAAAGTGAGTCATCTTTTTTTTTTTGAAATTATCGATTCTTTCAACAATGTCCAACAATCAGAAGAAAAAAACTGTTGTATACTGCGTTGTATTTACTTTTTCATGAATTGAGCAATTTTGAGTTGTATCCCTTGTTATATTATATATATAGTGGGAAAGGAAAAAAAAATATAGAATCCCCTGTGGTCCTACTGTCCTTGGATGATAATTTGGTCTTAACGGTACATGGGAAAGTCCAAAAGCGGGGTTATCTGGATTATTATCCGGTATCATAAAAGTAAACACTTACATAATTATACTATATAGCATTATTCTTACAGTATTGTTTGTGTATTACCGTTATGGCTCTGCCGGTAGATCGAAGTTATTGTAACTTTTAGTGTTTTGTAACCATAGGCTCGAACCTCACGTGATGCCATTTTATAACCACAGTTTTTTCTTCTTGCTCTGTTCTTTTATAATTATTATTTATTTATTTCCGTTTTCCTATTAGTTTGTTTCTTATAATACATATTTATATATATTGATTTTTGTATTTCTATTATATTTTCTTTTTGTATATTTTAAAATATTCGATCTCATATTCATGTATACATGTACATGTGTATGAAAAAACGGTCAAACTTGTTTTCTGAGCAATTGACTGTTCTGAGGTAAAGAAAAATGCCTTACCAGATGTCGAATTCTGCCTGTAAGGGTAAAACACATTACTAACACGGTTGCTCTACCTACTGCGCTAACAAGACATATGATAACATGTAGTATTTTTCAGTTTTATAGATTATGGCATTGATCTGCCTAACCTTTTTTTGCATTGTTATTGGTCTTTGTTATGTAAACAAAGGCTCAAGTTATCATCCTACTGTCCTAGCGTAGTAGGTAGAGCAACCGTGTCAGTAATGTGTTTTACCCGTACAGACAGAGTTCGACTACTGGTTAGACACATTTTTTACCTTAGAACAGCCAATTGTTCAGAAAACAAGTTTGACCGGTTTTTTCATATACATACATGAATATGATAACGATTATTTTATTAGACCGCGATCAAAAAATACAAAAAGTAAAAAAAATGGAAATAAAAATAATAAATATATACTATAAAATATAAATTATAAGTAGAAAACAAAAAGGAAAACGAAAATTAAATAAAGAATAATAATAAAAAACAGAGTAAGAAGAAAAAACTGTGGTTATAAAATGACACTAAGTTGGGTTCGAACCTAAGAGTACAAAACACTAAAAGTTACAATTACTCCGACCTACCGACAGAGCCATAACGGTAATACGCAAACGATTATGTAAGAATAATGCTATATAGTACATGTAAGTGTTTACTTTTACGATATCGGATAATAATCCAGATAACCCTGTTTTTCGACTTTCCCATGTACCGTAAAGACCAAATTATCTTCTTAGGACAGTACAAATGTACTTAGTTTAAAACATTCGTATGTAAACATGCAAATATTACCTAAGTTAGATAATCTTTAACCTACATATTTGTTTCTTTACTTACTTGATCGATGTATAAAGTGGTTGTAAACGTAGCATATAAGTATCGACATTTTGAAACGTTAACATATAAAGCGTTTGTAATATGGATTCTATTGGACTAAAATTAGTTCTTCTTACCGGACTTGTAACAACAATAAGTTCAGGTTAGTATATTGTCTTATTTAGCATTGTACAAGAATACTTATAGTAAAACTGAAATAGATGATGAAAGATAATGTAAATTAAATGTGTATCTTTTGGACTAAAAATAGCGGGTTTTTTTCGAATTTATAAAATCAATTATTTCTGATAAGTTGATTTATCTACTGTACACGAAACATATAAAGGTTTTTAGATATAATAACTACTTATAACTTCTTGTGGATCATTCTCCCCAAAAAATGTTGAGCTTAATCAGAAACACTTTGTTATTTCACTGTGACATTATATTTTTTTAAACTGTTTCATATATACAAGAAGTGTTCAAATATGAATGCATCAAAGCACGAAATATTTAATTTTTCATGTGATTTAAAGATCTATTTTGTTCCCTCAAAATGCGCAACTAAACAGATATATAAATTATTCGGATCCAATCTCTAAAGGGATTTGCATGGTCTTTTTAAGTATTTTATGAAGACAGTGGGATATTGCAAAACTTTTCGCTGAACACATTTTATACCTTGGAGCTATTTTGTAGGCTTGGGAACAAAAATAAGTCAGAATGGCTCAAAGTCAGATGAATGCAAAGAATTTAAGAGAACAAAGACATTTTGCTACTTTCGAAAGTCTTGCAATATAGACGCCTTGTTCGTTGACGCATTGTCATACAGAAAACTTTGAGTCAAAATGTTTGGGGTGTTTCAATGTCTGTGTTGTAACATGTCGCATTTGACAAATTGCCATTAGGAACAGCAAGCTATACAGCGCGCCGCTGACTTGTTAAGAAATGGCATATATAAATTCTATTCTATACCTATAAACCTTTTTGCATTAAATGGTATTTTGCAAGAATTAGCAGCATGAATCTTGTTTGCCAGTTTTTGGCAAATTAAACCCGTAATTTTACGCACTTTAAAAAAAAAAAAACTATCTAAAATTGTTACATCATTTAATAGGTGTAAAAGTTAATTTGTTTCGTTTTTTTTTTTTTTTTTTTTCTAGTTTTTTTTTTGTAAAAATATATTTAAAGTTTGCATTGGCCATGACTATCATTATCTAATAGAAATTGATATAATTGATAATACGAATTAGGACAAACGTCAACCATGCAATAAAACAAACAATTAGCGCCATCATACCCTAATCACCACCACATAATCATCAACACCGCCCCAATCTACATTCTTTCAATCATCATTATCTACACTATCCCTATAATAATAATGATAATAATAGTGACGCCTATCATAATCACCACCATCCTAATTATTATCATAATTTTCCAACACTATTCCAAACTTCATTTCAATCACATTTATTATCGTCAGCATAATCTTTCACTTGAAATAATCATCCTTCTCCTCTCCACTTCATTATCATCATCAACATCATTACTTTTTGATCATTATCATCATCATCATCATCATCATCAAAACCACCACCACCTCAATAATCTTCATCATTATAATCGTCACCACACCAATAATTATCATTATTATCATCGACATCGTCATCGTCACCGTCATCGTTTTAATATTCAACAAAGACATCAATGACGGAAATTATCATCATAATCATCATTCACTTATACACAGACGCTTCTTTTAATAAAAGCAAGTTGTAAACTTATTGTGGATGACACGTTAGACATGGTGAATTAAGAAATATAAAGCGAGATTTTATAAAGTCACTTACAAGGTTTAGTACCGTACTCAATTGAGTTGGATGAGTACACGGCTTTCAAAACTATACTGGATGAGCTTGTAGCTTTGCAGTTGTGCGCAAGTGCAATATAATAAGTATTGTTAACGCTCCCTGGATTTTGCATCACCATTTTTTGACATTTTGAAAGAATGTTGTTTCTTTAAAAATCAAAAATGATTTGAAACGGACTTTTGATTCTCAAGAAATGAAAACAAAGCTAACTGGGGTTCGATATGGAATTGAAATGAACCTTTTGGACCCTGGAAATGAAAACGAGGCTATACGGGGTGTGATATAGTATTGATATGGACTTTTTGAACTGCAGAATTACCCGTGCATTTCCTGAAGTATGCATGTTGTATCGGTAATCAGGGTTAATGCTATGGTATATAAATTGATAAAGTACTACTGTAACAGCGCTGTGTCTTCTTTTCTCAGTTTCCTACAAGTATGTACGTCAAACACTAGAACAACAATAATAAATAAATAATGACGTCACAGACGTCAACATATCACGAAGCGCCATTTACGTACAAATAAATTTACGGGAATAAAATGTAAATCTACGACATCTGCTGAATCTGTTGTCAAAATTTTAAACTACATGTAATCTAAAATAATGTAAAAATGAAATGAGCGAAATCTAATTTATTATAATCAGTGAGAGTGTTAATGATTTATTCAGGTATGTTTTATTGATCAATAATAATCGCCAATTCATAAAAATCGGCGTTTGTGTATTCTAGGGTCAATTAAATACACGTGCGAAAATGTGAGATCACATATCAGTTAAATCCGTCATTATAACCGGTTCAAGATAATAAAAAAATAATAAAAAAAGTAATGCACAAGTATGTCGAAATGATATAAAATGGAAATTCTATTGTACGATGTTACGCTTACCTAAGTACATGTGTCACTTTCGAGGATTACTTGTCAACCTCTGTTTCTGAGATGTTAAAGACCATTTCATTTGTTTGTTGTTTTTTTAATACAATAATTTACGTTAGGTTAAGAGGTCACTTAAATTAATCTAAGTAAGAATGCGCGCTGTGAATCTCTAGCCGACAGCTTCTAATGCCTGAAGAATAAACAACGAAACTCAAACCCTTTTAGGCTTTTCTAGGAAAAGTTCTATTTCTTGTCAATAGCCGAGGAATTCAAGAGAAACACTATTTGTTAAAATATTGTTTACTGTTACATTTATTAAACCAAGAATGTCGATAATATACTCAAGTGAACGTCCTTGATCTTTTGAAATAACGAACCGTTGTTCCAATTAGGTGTGCCTGGTATAGAATCGTCCAGAATAACTTTTTACCTTCGGAAACATGTTCCATCAGTGAAAACAAATTGTCAGTGAATGTTTGCTTGCAATGTTCTTATTATTCAGAAACAACATCGTGTCTGTGTGTGACATTACCATATTTTGTACAAACTTTTTACACTGTGCGTCGTTTTTATTTCGAGGTGAAAATCCTTCTAAATAGTTTTTGACAAAAAGAATATATAAATAAAAATATGTGCGTCATTTTATTATGTTTTGGCTCAGAATTTGGAACAAACAAAGGTGCAATTAAGTATGGTGGGTGGTTTGGGCCATTAAAAAAAATTATTATATTTGAGCCGCGTCATGACAAAACCACCATAATGGGTTTGCAACCAGCATGGATCCAGACCAGCCTGCGCATCCACGCAGTCTGATCAGGATCCATGCTGTTCGCTATCAGTTTTTCTACTTGTAATAGGGTTTGTAAGCGGATGAGCAGGCTGGTCTGGATCCATGCTGGTCGCAAACCCATTATGTTGGTTTTGTCATGACGCGGCTCATTTATTTATATGTCAAATGAAATATTTTAAGATATTTGATATTATTAAGTTAACGTATTTAATTTTGTAGCTACCCTTCAGCAGATTTATATCAAAGACAGCAAGGTACCTTTGAAAGGAGGTGATATACAGATTATATGTGAGGTATCTCAGTTTACCAATGAGGTTGTTAGGGTCTATAAGACAGATTACTTGCCTCAAGACATTACCACTGCTACATCATTAACAAGTTGTATTCCATCACAGTGTATAGGGGGAACTACACCAAGACATACATTCAGTCCTAGCAGCAGTGGTATTACTATTACAGTGACCAATCTTAATAGAGCAGAAGACCAGAAATATTGGACATGTGCCATTGATACCCAGAAAAAGTGCATGCAACTTACTGTATATAGTATGTATCATTTCAAAAGTTTGAACTGGTGAAAAAAAAATTCTTTAAAAAAAATTAATGAATAAAATAACACATTATTTAAAAAAGTTCAATGTACTTCTTTAAAAGAAGCATATTTCTGTCACTATTGTTGTTTAAACATTTCCTATCGTATATGTGCCAAGTGTGTTATATAAAATAGTTAACAATAGTTAAAAATAAGTACTATTAGTAAAATAATTCTTTTTTGTACGCTTAAATCAGATGTTTCTTAAGGATGTTTAAACACATGTATTTCTAACATATTTTTTTTTCTGTCACGAATCTTTAGCATATTAATTTTTCTTGCATAGCAGACTGGCGTTTCCGTTAGTTTTACCCATGCCGGAAATTTCATCTGGCATGGGGGGTTCCAGATGAGTCGCGTGCTGTACAATGGCACGCTTAGGATGACGTCATTTTACCGTTATGAATGAAGTTGCAATTTCATACGCTGTTGTAAGAAAGTAGTTACGGTTGTCATGATATAAATTTCCATTGAAAATAAAGATAAAGAATTTAAAATATAATGGAATATGGTAGAATATGCAAGAAAAAATATCTGACATATGTTTGCGGTTCGGATCGGAATATCCGTCCCTCGGTCACCCGCCCATGGGCGGGTCACCTCGGGACGGATATTCCGATCCGAACCGCAACATATGACAGATATTATTAATATGTTATAAGCCCTTTTTCAGTATATTTGTGGATTTAAATAAAATATTTTTTATGCAAGGATTTAATGATTTTTATCGTCTTTCAAGATGCCTCTTATTTATTTCATTCCAGCAATAACTCCCTCAATACAGTACAATAATCCACCAAGCCAGAATCAAGACTTAGTTCAAACTTCAGTGACATTTAGCTGTAGTACAGGATGTGCATATCCGGCACCAAACTTTGTATGGTATTATAATAAGGTAATTTTGATAACTTACGATCTGAAAAATCAAAATCAAATAGAAATACATTTGTTTGTACATGTATATGCATTTCATTTGTAGCTATCTGTTTTATTAAAGGTTTTGTCAATTATGCTATTGTGCTTTTGTTGCATTATAGACTGGTGGATCACGTCAAACATGGTCAACAACAGCACCTGTGACAGATAGAACTGATGGTTGTACTGACTCTGAGAAAATATATACATCAACATTAACTCTACCAAGATACATGCAGTTTATTGACAAAACAGATACCACTGTGAGGTTTCAGTGTGGTGCTATATCAGAAAATGGTGCAAAATATCAACAATTTACGCAAACATCTGTAGATGTTCGATTTGCAGGTACACACATATCTTTATTCAGTTTCTCATTTTTCATTTTGATTCATTTAATGTATATAAAACTACCTTGAAAGGTTTTGATCTACATATGAAACACATAAAGAAGTCATATTAACGTAGAACTTTTTCAGCACTGAGGATTTTTACCTGTTTCAAGTAGAGTCGAGCAAATCACTCATAATCATGTTTTGTGTTTTTTCTTGTTATATGTACATACAGATTATATCCCCTTTTACATGGATGAACATTTCACTAAAGTCAGTTTTCACACAATCATAATATCAGGTTTAGTATTTAGTATTTAGGGTATTGCATTAAGAATTCCTAGAATTAAAGGGTTTCGTTAAACGTCTTTTTCCTACAATGGTTGCTCCGTTTGGAATAAACTACCAAAAATATAAAGAATTAGAAACTTTTGCAACAGCTCAATTTTCCGTACAAAAACATCTTTTAACCACAGTGGCGTCATTATGTTGTGATATCATTTTTGTTATTTAGATTGCAAGTATCAGTTTTACATTTGTCACCTTGTCTTCTTATAAATTGAAATTGTAATACAAAGTTATTGTGCCTTGCTTGATCATATCATTATACAGTCTGGATCACAACTGAAGCAAATTATATCAAACCCACTTTTTTGTCATCCTGAGCATATAAATATATGTCATGGAAAATATTTCATTTTAACAATTACTTGGAGTATTTTGGTATATTTTATGAAAAATTGTTCGAAGATAATTATTTTACTTATTTTAGTTTGTCTTCTTATGGTTTTATTTAAAAGTTTAAGTTAAAGTTTTAATTATGTTTTTTCTTATAATTGTTGTTTTCACTTATGATAATATTCATGTGCGGTGCATAATAGGATTATATAATTATACATGTTCACCGTGCGTAAAAGGGTAGACGTAATCACTGTTAAGTTTGATTTTGCATGTTGCCTAATCTAAAAATCTTGAAGTGATTCATTTCACATTGACTTTATCTGTAAACTGGCGTAGTTCTTTATGATGACATTGTTATAAGCATGCTGTTTTTTATGCTATTCTCTTTAGTTTATGGTCGCCGAACTCTAACTATTCTTTGTCATAACTCCACCTAACCGTATTTCCTTTAAAATAACCGGTTATTAACAACCTTCTGCAAATGGCCAACTACTTATCTCACATAATTTCTGAGCCAGCGGTGAGAGCTAAATGACCATTAGTTTCAAAAACGGAGACCAATTATCACGCAATAATTTTTCCTGAGGATTGAGCCAACGACCACAAAGTCGATGCTCAATAATGAGACTCAAAATGCAAGAGAAGCAAACTCTTTTTATGCAGTACTTAAAGAAGAACAAGAAAAGCATTGATGCAAAGCATCAAAGGCGACACCATTTGATCAAGTTTTGCACCTAAATACTTAACAAAGATGTGTACTTTATAGAAGTACCATAACATGTGACCTGGAGGTTTAACTAAGGCCCTCTTTAAGTTGAAACTTAAACCAAAAAGAATAGAATCTGTCTTGCCAAGATGTAAAGACAATTTATAGTCAATTAACCAATCTTATAAGACTCATGCCATACGAGAGGATGTCTTCAGATTTATTTTAACAGATAGGCAACATGGATACCTGAGTCATCAGCATATAATTAAAGGTTATTGCAAAGGGTTGCAGACATGTCAATGACATATATTAGACATAAAGGAGGACCTAAAATGAACCTCAGGGGGACACCATAGGTACTCGGTGCAGTAGTAGAATAAGTACCAGCCACATCAACCCGCTGCTGTCTATCAGAGATCCGACTTGAACCATGTAAGAATGTCATTACCCATGGCAGATGCTTGAAGTTTCATGAAGAAGAAGAACTTCTTCATGTGCAGTATAGTGTGATCAACTGTTTCATATGCCATTTGTAGATCTCAAAGTATCATGCAATACTGCCTTAGTCTTAATCAAAATAACAATTAATATATTGTATAATTATTTTTACTAAAAGGGCTTAGACAGTTATTGGTTGTGCCATTATTTATAACAGGTCAATTTGAAAGTGAACATAACTGTAGTAATAAATGTACAATATCTTTTTTGTACAGATAAAAAACTAACCTTTTTTCTATGGAAGGCTGATTTGTATTTTGCATAAGGGGCACCGGGCGAAAACTTGAAAATGCAACAAATGAACCACTTTGTGATAGATTGTGTTTTCATTAGGCGGCACGTTACTTTTTGTACTTTGTTGGTTTTCGAGTGGCACAAATCACCCACTTAATAATTAATGCACAAATTTATTCAAGGGCAAGTAACAATCTTCTCTATGAAAAGTCTGCTGTCGGATTGACTTTGGAAACCTGGAGGTTGAGACCAGTGTTCCTCCATTACAAATAGATAAAACAGAAGCTGTCATTTTCAAACAATAAACATGTTATGTAATAAAATAACTATTGAGAATATGATTTGTATGCCCCCACAACGTTTGGAGCATATAGCGTTGGAATTGTCTGTCCGTCCGTACGTCTGTCCGTACGTCCCGAAATCTTGTGAACGCAACTCCGCTTAAACCGGACGGCATATTTTGCTTAAACCTCCAGGGATGAACAACCTTAGTGAGTAGATGGTAGTTAAGGAAGGATTTTTTTCGCTGCGATCAAATTTAATAGAATTATGGCCTTTTGTTGATTTTTTCACTATATACTATGTAGAAATTTTGTGAACGAAACTCCTCTTAAACCGGATGGCAGATTTTGCTTAAACTTCCAGGGATGAACAACCTTAATGTGTAGATGGTAGTAAAGGAAGGAATTTTACTTGCGACAAAATCTATCAGAATTATGGCCCTTTGTTAATTTTTTCACTATAAACCATATATAAATTTTGCGAACGCAACTCCTCTTAAACCGGATGGCAGATGTTGCTTAAACTTCCAGGGACGAAAACCTTGTAGTGTAGAAGGAAGTAAAGGAAGGAATTTTTTTCTGCGACCAAATTTGTCAGAATTATGGCCCTTTGTTGATTTTTTCACTATATACCATATATATAATGTCAGTGAGGGCATCCGTGTCCTTTGCACACAGTTTTAGTTTGAGACTTTATCAATTATATTGCTTGATCCAAGTTTAAGGACATTTTCAATCAATACATGTATTATAATTTATAACTTAAAATGAAAGTATCATCCCTTTAATAATACTGTCATAACTGTAACACTTTAAATAGAGAAATATTTTAAGTCTTATCATATCAATATACTAAGATATACATGTATGCACATTTATAATTCCCAGTTTCTATTAAATAAATATGAAATCCTAACATTAACATTAACATTGGTACTAATGGATGGAATTCAAAATCTAGTAGAAAGAAATCTATAATGTATAAACTCTATTATAGATACTATTATTAGCCAGCTAACACTGGGTATAAACATCTATAACCTGTAGACTATTCGAAACATGTATTACATTTATAAATTGATATGCAAGTCAAGTCTCCCTCATCATAACTGGAAGTCTTTAAATACAGAAATATTTCAAATCACATTATATCCATTACCAAGATACACATATATGCACATTACATTAATTATTCCCAGTTTCCATTAAAAATAAGTATTACATCCTATTAACATTGGTACTTGGATGGAATTCATAATCTTGTAGAAAGAAAACTATTATGTATAGTTATACAATTTTTAAAAAATCAAATAGTCTATATCATATAATAAAGATTGAGTTTTGTGAGTCCATAGCCTAAAATAAAAAGCATTCCATAAGAGACGACGCCGCTCACCGGCGTCGCAAATAATAGGAAATTAATTACTTATAATAAAGGAAGTAATAAAGTAATTTTCAAGACATTATTCAGCTTGATAATTTAAAAAATATGATTAAACATAGTTTTGTGATGAGTTGATATCTACCAAAATATGTGAATCATGAAATATTGCGTACGTTCCCTTATCAAGACGTTTTCATTAACACGTTCCTCGGAATATGTTTTTTAATATACATTAATCGATGATGGATTAACTGCTTATCGTTAAAACATGGCGCAAACTTGCAATGACGCCCTGACACATTTCAAAGTATATTTTCCAATAAATACGCAATGAATTTTAAACAAATATTCAACTTTATACAATGTGAAAATTGATTAAAAGGAAAGAAATTTAATCGTATGAAGTTCTTCTCAAAGTACGTAAAATGTACAACAAGAACTAGAATAAGATATTAAAGACAATGTATATGTGTCTTAAAATATTTAATTTAAAGAAACCTAACATGTACATAAATTTAAATGAAAAATGTAAGTGTAATTTTATACCGTTGACTTAGAAGTAAATATTTGACTCTCTCGGCGGGTTATGGAGTTACAAGACAACAGTATAAGATTAATTATGTTATCATTATCTTACTTAGTTGCATATATCTATAAACTTCAGAAAATATGTTTATTTTTCTTTTGAGCCTGGGTTACCCCGTTTATTCATTCCGTAATAGGTATAAGAGGGTCGGGGTCATCCCCCTCATACCTTACATTAATTATACATGTATATCACATTGTAAAATTGAGAAACTAAATATCATAAAAATACCTTAGTTTCTATCATATATCTATAGAGGTATACAAATATTTTTCAACATGTATGCTAGTTATTTATTTAAACGAGAACAAAAGAAAACATCACGTCAGTGTAATTTATTCAAGAAACAATCGTACAATTCACCATCTTTTAGCTTCAGTGTGTCAAATAGGTATTTTTTGTAAAGAGTCCAAACTAATTTAGAGCTATTTTTAAAGCCATTATATGTGGTTGTCATATTGTTTTCTCTTAAACAAATTTTTCAATTCTAAAAACGATATATCATATTCGAAATCCTTATCTTCAGAACCACAAATAAAAGATTTACAGTTGAAAATATAGTCAAAATAATGTACTTAACTTTGCAAATAATTAAATAGAGGCTGAACTTTATGACATTCCCAAAATAAATGTTTAAGTGTTG